TTTAATCCCACGCTTGACGTGGATCAAAGTCTAGTGTATCAAAATTAGAAGAGACATCTATGCTTTTTCTACCATATATTGGCTGCACATTGTGTAAAACAAAAAAATGAACTCATTTTTTCATAACAAGAAAACGGCGTCGTTGTGGACTGGACTATCATTAACTCAAAAAATGCCAAAAACGCTATCGTTTCAATGAGTCTCTCTCTCTCTCACATGTAAATCAAATTTCTCCGACTACTGTGGATAAGGAACGACGATGATTCTGATAACCTCACCGCCGGTGACATATCTCCGTCACTCCCTCCACAATCATCACACAAAACCGCTGCAAATCCACCGTCATTTTCGCCGGAGTAGCGAAATCTCCACCGTCGATCGGTGCATTCCATGGCAGACAATAGATCGCATGAAGATACGAACCCGAGTCACACCCTTTTTATGCTGGGCTCGCCGGGAACCAGAGACGGCGACGGTTGAGGTTGAAGATGATCGTCTTCGGAGAATCGTTCGGTATCTACTGTGGACTACTGAAGCTGTGTACATACTATGGCTCTTTCTTCTCCCTTATGCTCCTGTGCGTGAATCTCTCAAATCTTATTATAGTTAGGGTTTAAATCAATACTCATAGTTCCTTGAATTTAGTGTTTTGGAATCAATCCTGAGCTTATTGCCAATGGTATTGTGTAGAATCACATTGATGAACCATTTCACTTTCTCTGATTTGAATGATTTTTGTTTGCAGAATCGAATAGGTTTTCTTGTTTTTCTTCAACTAATTTTGCTGATTTTCATGTATATTTACGCTTCTGTTTAGGATTATACAATCTTGTATGGTTCTTTCTCAGAAAATAAGTATGTTTGATCAACAGGGAGATCCAATTTGGGCAATTAGTACAGAGACAGTGAATTCTCTTGTGGGACTTTCATTGAATTTCTTCTTTATCTTGCCTCTTACAAACTCCGGTATGTTTTCAGCTTAAGATTCCACGCTGCGCATCGATCATTGTATCGGTTTTGGTTACCTGTTTGATCGCTGACGAAAATTTGTGGACTTTCTGGCAGAACAGTTGGTATTCATTTCTTAGAAGCTCCTGTTCTTCACCCTGTAAGTACCATTTTAAGTATAACAGGTTTTCACGAAACTATTCGTCATTCTGCTGAAAACGGTTTCATATTCTGTCACCAGATGGCTGAAGGATTATTCAACTTTGTTATAGCTTGGACACTCATGTTTGCTCCGTTGATATACACAGACCGAAAGAGAGATCGATACAAAAGCTCTCTTGATGTCTTATGGAGTCTCATGATGTTCCTCACAAACAGTATGTGAACACACTTATTACTTACTCTTTGTGATATATTCATCTACTAAGCTCAGTTTTCTCTAAAAGCAAAACCTCTAAACTAGATTATCGGTTCTTTTGATCTCGTGATGGATGCAACACAGCGTTTCTAATCCCATACATGGCTTTAAGGCTCAATGACGCTGACCTAGATGATAAACCGAGCAAAAGGTCTCGACTTGGTGAAGCAATGACCAAAGGTGCGCCAATAGTTGGTCTGACCGGAGCTACGGTATGCCTGATATCGACATTGTGGTCTCTCTACGGTCGAGCTGATGGAGGTTTCGGTGGGATAGTGGAAAGATGGCAGTATCTGATTGGTTATTTGGGATCGGAGAGACTAGCTTACGCTTTTATATGGGATATATGTCTGTACACAATCTTTCAGCCATGGTTGATTGGAGAGAACCTGCAAAATGTAAAGAAGGACAAGATTGTGTTGGTGAGTTATCTTCGGTTTGTTCCTGTTTTTGGTTTGCTTGCATATCTTTTGTTTCTCAATCTTGACGATGAAACTCATTAATTAGTTAATTTGTACACACACATATATATTTTATATTTTTGTTTTATAGAATTTTATTGTTTTTCTATATGTTACACATCTGAAACTTCCATCGTTATTGAGTTTGATAGTTTGATGTTGATTTGCGGAGTCATTTATAAAGAAGATGCTTGTACACTCTCATTTGAAGTTTTGTTGCACATTGATGCCATATCTTGCAAAACTCAAACATTTCGGTGTTTTTAAGTGCCTTTGAGATAATTGTGATGTTTTGTTCATATCTTTCAGAGTTGCTTTCTTTCTCTCAGTATTGGAGTCTCGCTCTGTGGTCGAGTTTTGGTGTTGTGGAGTTACAGGCCATGTTATCTATATAATAGATGAGTGTTAAACACGGTCGAGCAACTTGAACAGAATATAGTTCATCTAGCAGCGCATGTTTGACACACAGCCCGTAAAACACCAACACCAAAACCCGACCACGGGACGAGACTCTGAAATCGAGAGAATGAAAGCAACTCTCAAAGATATGAACTCTAAAATTCCCCAAACAATTTCCATCGTCTCTGTTCTTAGAGAATCAC